CATGATGATGATGAGGATGATGATGACGATGCTGCTGATGATGATGCTGATGCTGATGATGGTGCTGATGGTGCGGTTGACGATTGGGCTGATGGTGATGATGATGGTGATGATGATGATGATGATGATGCTGTGATGGTGATGGTGATGGTAATGATGATGATGATGATGATGATGATGATAATGATGATGATGCTGATGATGATGATGAAGATGCTGATGACGATGTTGATGCTGAGGCTGATGATGATGATGCTGATGCTAATGATAATGATGCTGATAATGATGCTGATCAGGATGATGATGATGATGATGATGACGATGATGATGAAGATGAAGATGAAGATGAAGATGATGATGATGATGATGATGATGATGATGATGATGATGATGATGAAGAAGATGCTGCTGATGATGTTGATGCTGAGGCTGATGATGATGATGCTGATGCTAATGATAATGATGCTGATAATGATGCTGATCAGGATGATGATGATGATGATGATGATGATGATGATGATGAAGATGAAGATGAAGATGAAGATGATTATGCTGATGATGATGATGATGATGATGATGATGATGATGGTGGTGGTGGTGGTGGTGATGATGATGATGATGATGATGATGATGATGATGATGCTGCTGCTGCTGATGATGATGATGATGATGATGATGGTGATGGTGATGGTGATGGTGATGGTGATGATGCTGCTGATGATGATGATGATGATGATGATGATGATGATGATGATGATGATGATGATGATGATGATGTTGCTGCTGCTGCCGTCTTGCTACCATCTCGGCCGTCTTGGGAACTTATTGAGCCTTCTTGGGCCGTCTTGATGTCATCTTGGCTGTCTTGGAAACCGTCTTGGAGGCCATCTTGGTCGTCTGGAGGCCGAAATTCACGCTGGAGAGCGGTTTTCGGCAGGTGTTGGCGATGAGGAGGTTGGAATCACCCCCCCCCCAACCTACCAGACAGCAGACGAGCATTCTACCACGCCCACTCCGTGCAGGCACGGTGGCGGACTCCTCCTTCAACTCCTCGGCCCATCTTCGTCCTATCCTTGTCCGTGTCCTCGTCCTCCTGCTCGTCCTTCTCGTCGTCCTGCTCGTCCTCGACCCCTTCCCCGCGTTCCTCCTGCTCCTCTTGGTCCTTCGACCTGCATGCGCTCCGACGCACTTCGGGGCCTCCGCCCGACTCCAGCCCGGCCTCGCCCCGGAGGAGGCGCCCAGGAGGCACAAGCCGGCCAAGGCGTCCAGGAGGCCCGCGAAGTCCAAACCGCAGGAGGACATGGTCGGAGCCGAGGACGGCTCCGCACGGGATGGGGAGGAGGAGGAGGAGTATGAAGAGGAGGAGGAGGAGGAGGAGGAGGAGGAGGAGGAGGAGGAGGAGGAGGAGGATCATGAGGAGGAGGAGGAGGATGGAGGAGGAGTTGGAGGAGGAGGAGGAGGGAGGAGGAGTATGAAGAGGGGAGGAGGAGTATGAAGAGGAGGAGGAGGAGGAGGAGGGGAGGAGGAGGAAGGAGGAGGAGGAAGGAGGAGGAGGAGGAGAGGAGGAGGAGGAGGAGGAGGAGGAGGAGGAGTTGGAGGAGGAGGAGGAGAAAGAGGGAGGAGGAGGAGGAGGAGGAGGAGGAGGAGGAGGAGGAGGGGGAGCAGGATTCCCTTTGTTCTAGCTTCCCATGTAAGATTCGTCTGGCATCCTCTGCGAGATCTTGGGCGGGCGCCTCCTTCTCCTTCCTCTGCCCTCTCCACTCCCCGTCCCCTGCTCCAGGCATCCCGGCCTGAGATGATGATGATGATGCTGATGCTGATGATGATGATGATGATGATGATGATGATGATGATGATGATGATGATGGTGACGATGATGGTGATAATGATGATGATGGTGATGATGGTGGTGGTTGTGGTGGTGGTGGTGGGATGATGATGATGATGGTGATGATGGTGCTGGTGGTGGTGATGATGATGAAGAAGAAGATGCTGAAGATGGTGAGGAGGAGGAGAAAACGGAGGAGGAGACGGAGAAGGAGGAGAACGAGGAGGAGGAGGAGGTGGAGATTCCTTTGTTCTCGCTTCTCGTGTAAGATTTGTCGGGCATTCTCTGCGAGATCTGGGGCGGGCGCCTCCCTCTCCCTCTAACCTCTCCACTCCCCGTCCCCTTCTCCGGGCATCCCATCCTTCTTTGATGGGGACGATGATGACGATGACGATGATGGTGATGATGATGATGATGATGATGATATTGATGATGATGCTGATGATGGTGATCATGATGCTGCTGATGATGGTGGTGTTGATGACGCTGACGATGATGATGTTGATGATGATGATACTGGTGAGGATGATGATGACGATGACGATGGTGATGCCGACGCTGATGATGATTCTGATGATGGTGATAATGATGGTGTCGGTGATGATACGGATGATGGTGATGATGGTAATGATGATGGTGATGATTGTGATGTTGATGACGCTGGCGATGCTGATGTTGATGGTGATGCTACTGGCGAGGATGATTACGATGATGATGATTATGATGATGATGATGATGATGATGATGATGATGATGATGATGATGATGCTGATGATGATGATGATGATGATGATGATGATGATGCTGCTGTTGTGTGGTGGTGGTTGTGGTGGTTGTGGCGCTGGTGGTGGGATAATGATGATGATGGTGATGATGGTGCTGGTGGTTGTGGTGGTGATGATGATGAAGAGGAAAATGAAGATGGTGAGGAGGAGGAGGAGGAGGAGGAAACGGAGGAGCAGGAGGAGGAGGCGGAGGAGGCGGAGGAGGAGGGAGGAGGAAGACGAGGAGGGAGGAGAGGGACGAGGGGAACGGAGGAGGGAGACCAGCGGCGCACAACAGCGGGCAGGCTCAGCGGGGTGGGGGTCGGCCTTCTGATACGGCCTGGAAGGTGTGGGGAGCGATGCTGCTGCTGTTGGTGCTGCTGATGCTGATGATGCTAATGCTGATGCTGATGCGGATGATGGTGATGATGATGCTGATGATTCTGCTGGTGATGTTGCTGATGATGCTGCTGATGATGATGCTGGTGACGACTATGACGATTACGATGATGATGATGCTGATGCTGATGATGATGCTGATAATGAGGATGATGATGCTGATGACGATGATGATCAAGGTGAGGATGATGATCATGATTATGCTCATGATGATGGTGAACATGAGGATGCTGATGATGATGATGATTCTGATGAAGAAGATTATGATGCTGATGGTGCGGTTGACGAAGGGGCCGATGCTGGTTATGATGATGCTGATGCTGATGATGCTGCTGCTGCTGGTTATGATGATGATATTGATGATGATGATGATGATCATGATGCTGATGATGATTCTGATGATGATGCTGATGATGATGACGATGATGATGATGATGATGCTGATGCTGATGCTGATGATGATGATGCTGATGATGACGATGACGAGGATGACGGCGGCGGTGACGACGGCGGTGGCCAGGACGACTACGGTGCTACCGGTTATGATGATCATGCGGTGGCGAGGGTCATGAGCGTTATGATCATGATGATGCTGATGGTCGTGCTGCTGACGATGATGGATTGAATGTTTGGAGAAGGAGGAGGAGTAGGAGGGGGAAGGATGTCGGAGTAAGCAGCAAGGAGCAGCAGGCGAAGCAGGAGGAGGGATGATGATGATGCTGATGATGATGATGATGATGATGATGATGATGATGATGATGATGATGATGATGATGATGCCGACGATGATGATGCTGATGATGATGATGATGATGCTGATGCTGCTGCTGCTGCTGATGCTGATGCTGATGCTGATGCTGATGCTGATGCTGATGCTGATGCTGATGATGACGAGGAGGAGGAGGAGGAGGAGGATGAGGACGAGGAGGAGGAGGAGGAGGAACGAGGGGGAAAGAAAAAGGATATGAAAGGAGGGAGTAGGAGAAGGAGGAGCAGATGAAGGATGATGATGATGATGCTGACGATGATGATGATGATGATGATGATGATGATGATGATGATGATGATGATGATGATGATGATGATGATGATGATGATGATGATGATGATGATGGTACTTTGGGGCTCCTCAGGACGCAGGGGACACTCCATGATGTTGGGTGGTTCCACGTGCTGTCAGGACCTGCTGCGATTTTGTATGATGTAGCTTTAGCTTCGCTTCGTGGACTTCTGCAAGTGGCTTTTGCGCTGAAGGTCGGTCATGCAGCGCAGTATCACGCAGCACGTTCACGATCGAAGCTGTAAGCTGTAAGCGCTCTCCCAACCTGTAACCTTCCATGGATCCCTCTTATTGTTTGCGTTCTGAGACATTAGACGTTAACGGCTCATCAGTGATGCTCCATATTCTATGTAATCTTGTTTCGTTCCCCTGCCTATGAACACGACCTCCTCGATCTCCTCCTCTCTCTGGACCAGTCAAAACCTGGCCTCGGCCAGCGTTTTTGAGGAAGCTCGCTCGAAGCTCTGTGACATCGATGCTGAAAAACTCGTCCCCCCATCGTCGAATAGCACGCAAACACATGTGATCCGGCTTCATCTCTCGAAGCGCATCTTCCTCCTCCTCCTCCTCCTGCTCATCCCAACCAAGATCCTCTCAAAATTGGTCCCCGGACCCCTGCCAAGGTCCATCCTGGTCAGCTCTTCAGCTGCAGCCAGCCGTGGCGACGAGAACCTCCAGAAACGATCCCAAAGCCTCCGAAACGACGACGACGACGAGGTCGACGTCGCCGGTGTTGTAAGTCTTGGAGGTTTGGTCGCCTCCTCATCCAACTCATCCCTTTTCTCAAATCCGCTCAGCATTCGTCCCTGGACCCCTTCAGGGTCCATCCTGGTTTTCCATCCCGTGCCGATGTTTGGTGGTCCTGGGGCCCAAGAAGGTGCCTCTAGAGGCCAGAAACGGCAAAACACCGCAAAACTCTCAGCTTCCTCCTCCTCCTCCTCCTCCTCCTCCTCCTCCTTTGCCTCCTCCTCCTCCTCCTCCTCCTCCTCCTCCTCCTCCTCCTCCTCCTCCTCCTCCTCCGCAAACCAATCAGGGCTTCGTGCCCGTGCGCTGATGTGCTCTGCAGACGGCGAGTGCTGGGCAGAGTGCCAGGTGGTGGCGTACAGAACGTCTCAGGCTCCTTTCCGAATGCTCGGCAGCGATGCTTGCGAAAGCCGGCCTTTCCTTGGTTTGGCGGCGAGCCTGGTGGGGGGGGGAAGTGAGAAGGAGAAGGCCCCCTCAGAAGGCTCGGAAGCCCCCCCAGCCTTCTGAGAAGTTCTCTGAGCCTTCCCCAAAGACACAGAACATCCTTCAGAAGGCGCGAGGGCTTCTGAGAAGCCCCGCCGCCCTCCGAGAAGGCCTTCGCCTTCTGACTTCTCCCGCTCGCTCGCCGCCGATTGGTGGTGAGATCCAGCCTTGCATGCCCCTCTCCTTGGGAGCGCCCCCGTCCCCCCCTCCGCGCGAATGCGCCGCGGGGCTCCTCCTGGACCGGCGTGCCTCCCGAGGCGGAAGCCGCCAAGACACGCCGAACTGCTCGAAGCCCTAATCTCGTGGCCTGTTCCCGCATCCGCGCTTGGGTTGTGGGCATGGGGTCTATTGGATGTCCGTTGGGATCTCGTGGTGGGCCCCTGGGAGGCAGTTTGGAGGCCTCTCGGGGGCCGTTTTGGGGCCTCTTGGGGCCTCCTTTGGGCCTCGTGGGGGCCTCTTGGGGGCCTCTTGGGTGCCGCCAGAGGCGGAAACTGGCAACACAAATCGAACTGCTCGAGCCCCTAATTTCGACCGTCGTCCTTCTCTTCCTCCTCCTCCCCCTCCACCACCACCTCCTCCTCCACCTCCTCCTGTAGCTTGCACCTCCTCCTCCTCCTCCTCCACCTCCTCCTCCTCCTCCTCCACCTCCTCCTCCTGTAGCCTGCAGCCTCGTGGCCTCAGTACCTCACTCAAGGATTGTGGTTCTAGGAGACTCTGGAGACCTCCCGCAATTCAAGCAAATTAAGGGAGGTCCCAGAGGCTCCCAGAACCAGTCCTGGCGGCCTCTGGGGACCTCCCGTATTTTTTCAATTACGGGAGGTCCCCAGAGGCTCCCAGAACCGCAGTCTTGGCGGCTTCTGGGGACCTCCCGCAAATGAACGTGGAATTGCGGGAGGTCCCCACAGGCTGCTCGCAGCTCGTAGAGAACTGCCTCTGGGCACCTCCCTCAATTGGGCGAATTGCAGGATGTGCTATCCGGCGGGATAACAGGGTTTCCTCCCCCTCAGCGGCCGCTGCCGCTGGGTATGTGTGATCACACCAATGTTTTGTAACGAGGAGCAAAGTTGAGTAACTCGGGTTGACCCCAAAGGGGCTCTAGCAACAAGGGGGAGGTGCAATAGATTTGGTGCAATAGATTTGTGGGGTTGTAATACATTTGGGGCGTGCAACATCTTCCAGGGCGCAAATGTATTGCTGGACATTCGCGTGCAATGCATTACTTGCAATACAATGCCATACAATTCTCCGGCGCAGTACATTTGCAAAGCAATTGCTCCAAATCTATTGCACCACCCCCTTTCAGCTGGACCACCTGTTGGGTCGCCCAAAAGTGACGGACTCATGGATTGCGAGATTTAATCCGCGGGCCCCAGAAATCAAGATACGGCGGCGTGGGGCGGGATAAATCCACGCGGCCCCGGGATGGAGACGGAACGGCGGAACGGAGCTCCTCCTTTTTTTGGATCGCTCAGGCCACCGGAACTCCCGGTGGGCGGTCTTGGCAATCGCTTGTGGGCCTTGGGGCCGCCCCTGGCCTCGCCTAAGAAGGCCGGGCCAAGTGCCGCAGCATGACGACAACAATGCTTTGCCTACCCACCTGCCCTGGCCTCGCGCTTGGCACTGCAGGTCCTCCTCCTCCCTCCTCCTCCTCCTCCTCCTCCTCCTCCTCCTCCTCCTCCTCCTCCTCCTCCTCCTCCTCCGCGATCTTGCTCGCCACTCACCTCGGAAGACCGCCCCCCGCGCGAGTGCTGGGCAGAATGTCAGGCAGCGGCGTGCAGTGCGTCTCAGACTCCTTCGGATGCTCGGCAGCGATGCTTGCGAAGCCAGGCCTCCTCTGCTGGTGGTGAGATCCTTTGGATTCGCGGGACTTCCAGTCTTGCCCGCCCCTCACCTCGGGAGCGCCCCCGCGAGGGGGGGCGATGACGTGATCGGCGCGAGGACGACGGCGAGAGAGGGCGACGGCGAGAGAGGACGACGTGATCGGCGCCAGGGCGACGGCGAGAGAGGACGACGTGATCGGCGCGAGGGAGACGGCGAGAGAGGACGACGTGATCGGCGCGAGGACGACGCGATCGGCTCGCGAGAGAGCGCCGCGAGGACGACGGCGACGACGTGATCGGCGCCTCCGAGTGAGCCCAGCGCACGACCCTCCGCGCGGCGCTCCCCCGCGCGGCCGGCCGGGCGTGCCCAGGGGACAGCCCGCTGCAGGCATCGGGGCCCAGGCTTGTCGTCGTCGTCGTCGTCGTCGGCGTTGTCGTCGTTGTCTTAAGTTGTCGTCTTACGTCGTCGTCCGGGAGGAGGGGGAAGCAGGGGGGAGAATGATATCGAGGGAGTCGGAGTCGGAAGAGTCGGAGTCGGAGGAAGAGGAAGAGTCGGAGGAGGAGGAGGAGGAGTTGGAGGATGAGCAAGAGGATATCGGAGGTGGAGGAGGAGGAGGAGGAGGAGGAGGGTCCCAGCAAGCTTGGATTTTACTTAGGAAGTTGGTGAACTACAAGTCCCCGTTCACCGATTGCAAGCATTTGGTTTCCTGGAGGCTGCGTATCACATCGGTCAATCCTTCTTCGGAGGCCGAGCTTAGGGAGGTCATCTGGCAGGTCCGCAGGTGGGCCCCGGAGCGCGAGCATCCTGCGGCCTCGGAGAGGGCCCGCTCCTGGAGAGAGTGGGCGGTGGGCTCTACGAACGGTGGGGCTCGCAGGGCTCACAGGCACTCCCAGAGGAGGTCCCGAAGGTGGGCTGCCTCGGGTCTCCCTGGACGTGTCGGTGCCGATGGGGCTCCGCGGTGTCGATGGCTCTCAGGGCTGGCACAAGCACTGGGGCGTAGGCCAGCAGTTTCCTCAACCGCAGTTTGGATGTTGTGCAGCCCCGGCAGGCCGCTTTTTGCCTTCTCTTTGCATGCATGTTTGCTTTCTGTCTCCTCTTCTCCTCCTCCTCCTCCTCCTTCCTCCTCCTCCTCCTCCTCCTCCTCCTCTTCTCCCTTGCTGTACAGGCTATGCTGTGCTTGTTTTCCCGCCCATGCGCCGGACGGCGTATGGCTTGTGCGTGCGTGCGTGCTGACGAACCTGAGCTAGAGCCCCCCCTCTAAGGGAGAGCTTCTGGCCCTCACGAGAACGTGCAGCACGCACGCTGCCATCGGCATCTGCGGTTTCCATCCTCGCCACTGGTCGTTCATGGACCACGGCGCGCTGGCGGTCTTTCTTTGCATCTGGGAGCAGATGCAGCGTCTTTTCCTCAATGTGCCCAAGTGCTGGGCCTTGCTACTGATCGCCTTGTTGCCCAAGCCACCGCCTGATGGAGGGGGTCGACCGACCGGTATGTTCCCCTATCCCCGTTGAGGATTTGGTCCAGACGGGCCCTCTGGAAAGTCGCTGGTCGTTGGGAGCGTGATCATTCCATGGGATACTGGTTTGGCGATTCGGGGGCTTCTCGCGACACATGTGTGTTGGAAGCAAGGTTTCAAAGCGGAGTTGGCCAGGGATCCGGGCAAGGCAGCTGGTTCCAAGCTGCTGGATCTCGTCAAGGCCTACGAACACGTTCCCCACCGTGTGCTTGCCGGTTGCGCTCGGTGGCGCGGATTTTTCACGGACGATTTTTTTGCGACCGAGGTTGCTGCCACGGTCCGCGCGATCGTTGTTGGCTGCAGCTGTGCCACTTCTTTGCGGAGGCTGGTGCTTCCTTTCCCTGCAGATGCGGCAGTTGAGCGTTTTCCTCTGGTTGATCTGGCGGTCGTAGTGGACGATTTGCCGTTGCAGCGGGCTGGAGATGCTTGGGAGGTGGCCCAGGACCTCAAGGAGGCCGAGGATCCCCTCACTTCGGAGCTGTCGGATTGCGGCCTCACGATATCGCCACCCAAGACGCATCAGACGGTCATGGGCCAAGATGTTCGTCGTGCCGTCCGGAAGGTGGATCCATCGTCGGAAAAGTTTTTGATGAGGTCGGTTCGGAACCTCGGCCTCGATCTTGGGGGAGGTCATCGTCTCCTTCACGCGGCCAGGGCCAGACGTCCTGGGAAGATGTCGTCGCGTATTCCTCGGTGCATGCGCCTGGCGAAAGCCAGGGGCAACGCCATCAGGTTGGCCCAGGGCCTGTGCGAAGCTGGTGGGGCCACCTCCCCGTCGTGCCTTGCGTGTAAGGACATCAGATCCACTTGGCATCGGTTTTGTGATTGCCCTGCGAACAGAGGTTTTCGGAGGGAGTATTCGGCTGAGCACCCCCTGGCCACGCAGATGCTGGAGCTTGCGCGTAGTTCCGCCGAGGCCTCTCTGATTTGGACCAGGTTTTTGGTGCTTGACCCGTCGTGGTCGTTTCCCAATCCGTGTCTTGAGGGGCGGGCTGCTTGGACGCTTCGTTCAGAAGGTCTCCTTGATGTGCACGTTTTTGGAGATGGCTCGGGCCTGCGTGGCCGATTTGGCCGTCCCAGGAGATGTGGATGGGGGCTGTGCTCAGTCGACTCCGCGTGGCGCGAGGTCGCGGGATTGCATGGGCTGCTTCCGTCCCTATTCCAGTCGGTGCCCGCTGCTGAGCTGTTCCGTTTCCTGACGGCCCTCGGCTGCAGGGGGCCCAGAGTAAGTTTTTTTCCACGGCCTGCAAGCCTCTCGTCGACGTGTGGCGCCAAGGGGCAGGCGCTGGCGCGGCTGCTAGCGACCCCCATGGCCATACGAGGGAGGTGTGGAGGCTTGTGTCGGATCGGGGGGGGGGTTGGACTCGGCCGGGGTTGCTCACGTGAAGGCACACGCTCCGGCCTCAGCCGTGGCCGATGGCCAGGTCACGGCGTGGTAGCGCTTCGTGAATTCCAGGGCTGATTTGCCAGCCAAGGTGGGTGCGCAGCGTCATCCTCACAGTGAGCCTCTTAGGAAGGACCACAAAGATTCCCGCAGTGCGATCAAGATGGCCGCCCAAGCTTGCACGCGCCTCGCTGGTCGAATCGGCTCGGTCACGGCGCTCGCTGCCCGGCCACGGGCTCTCGGCAGGGTCACTGGATCCACTGAGGGCGGCATGGGCCCGCCACGTGCGCACTCGCTGCGCGACCCAGCGATCACGTTTTTTGTCTCGGCGTTTTCGTTGCACGGTGTGTCTCGGGTCGGCCGAGTCCCGACTGGTGATCCGCCAGCTCAAGTGCAGACAGAGTGCGAGTCAGCACTCGCTCCACAGAGCTGGTCCTGTCCTGTTCTGTGCGTTGTGCGGGTCGTACGCTGAGGAGCATCGTGTCGGCCTTTCTGCTGACTGCCGTCCCGTGCTGCGTCGTGCTGGCACGAGCGTCGAGGACACCAGGTTTTATCGCCTTCAGAAGCTTCTGAAAGGCAGGCTCCCCGAGTCAGGCCTGCTTCTAGGTCTTCCAGTGTTGCTGCGTGCTCGGATGCTCCGCGAGACGGCTTGCTTGCCGCCGCTTCCACCTCTCCCTTGGACCTGTGGGGAGTGGGTCGGAGGTGGGGGCGGGGTGGGCGGGGCAGGAGCTGGTCTCACATGCTCCTGCCACCCAGGCTGATATGGCCTTTTGGGAGACACTCGCGGGCCCCCCCGATGCCAGCGACTCGGACGACGACGATCCTGCCCGCGAAGCGAGGCATTGGGTCGGAGTAGCGTTCCATCGCTGGCCACATACCTTTGTCAAACTCTGGTCAAAATCCCTTCTTCTGCTGCTGCTGCTCCTCCTCCTCCCTCTCCTTCTCGTGCTCCTCCTCCCTTTCTCCTGCTCGTCCTCCCTTATCACGCCACTCCTCGCTCTGCTGCTGCTGCTGCTGTTGCTGCTGCTCCTGCTGCTCCTTTGCTGCTCCTTTGCTGCACCTCCTCCCCCTTCTCCTGCCGTGTGCGAGGAGGCAAAAGGGGAGGGAGGGAGGGAGGGCGGGAGGGAGGGAGGAATATGAGGAATTGGTTGACTGGTGTATTGGTTTACGGTGTAAATGAGGTGGAGGTACACTTGGACCCTCCTTTATGGACGTCTTCGTTGGCCAATGGCCCCTAAAAGGAGTCCCCGGCCCCCTCCAGTGCCTATTGACGGCGTGGTGTATTGGTGAATTGGTGGGAGAGGGCGGGCCCCAACCACCCCCTATGATGACAGTTGCGGGTGTGAGGCTTATGATGGCCCTCGCTGGTGAGACCTATGATGGTCCTCACCGGGTTGGGGGAAGAAGGCAGGAGGCTTAAATTCTAGGCATCCCAGATGGGGTCGTAGTGAATGGGGTCGGAGGATCGCGCCGCATCGCCGATGCGGCTCGATGTGGAGCCCGATCAGCTTCACGTCGACGTCGCCGATGCATCGCTGATGTCGACGTTGCATCGCCGATGCATCGCCGCTACATCGCCGATGTATAGGCGATGCGGCGCGATCCTCCGACCCCATGTACTCCGACCCCATCTAGGGGGCCTCTAGAAGTGTATGTCCGACAGCAGCGTCCTAAGAGGGATACCCGAAACGAGCACACACAACAAATACATGACCTCCACTTGTGAAGCCATGGAATAATGTTTCATTTTAACCCTGGCCCCCAAACAGGGGAGGGGAAAGGGGGCGGAGGGCAACGGGAAGGAGGAGGGAAGGAGGGAACGGAAGGGGGAACAGGAAACGGGACCCAGGAGGGAGGAGGGAGGCGGAAGGGAAGAGGCGGGGGGGGGGAGGAGGGAGGGAAGGGCGGAGAGTCGAGGCGGGAATCAAAAGAGGAGGGGCGTGGAGCAAAAGAGGAGGGGAGGGAGCAAAAGACGAAGGAGGGAGGGAGGGAGGGAGGAGTCCCTCTTGTTGGAGTCTGCACGCCTGAATTCGATGACTCGCAGTCGTACTTTTGGTGTAGCGTATATATATATATATATATGTACAACGAATGCTGGTGTAATGTAGAAGGAGGCAGAGGAGGAGCAGGAGGAGAAGGAGGAGGAGGAGGAGGAGGTGGAGAAGGGGGGGGAGGTGGAGGATGCGAAGGAGGAGGAAGAGGATGATGATGAGGAGGAGGACCAGTGTAAACCCAAGACTCACCAACGATGTTGCAATAAAGCCTCCCTTTACAAGTACGAGGCTGCGCAGGACCAGGTGACGTGGCGAGAATTCTGTGTTGAGCTTGCTTTCGAGAACGGTGAGGACGACTTGCTCTATTGCTCTCTTCTTTCTCTTCCCCCTCCCCTCTTCTGCCGCGGTCAGTTTTTCTGCGTCGCAGTCGTGATGCGCCCCTCTTCCTCCGCATTGAAACAGCGCACGGCTTCTCGAGGTAGGCCCCTACAAGGGTTCAATTTTAGT